CAGGTGCCAAACCACTGCGCCACCCAGGGATCCCAAGATTTTATTTATTTATTCATGACAGAGAGAGAGAGAGAAAGAGAGAGAGAGAGATAGAGAGAGAGAGGCAGAGACACAGGCAGAGGGAGAAGCAGCACCCCCCCCCCCCGCAGGGACCCCATGCGGGACAGGATCCTGGGTCTCCAGGACCACGCCCCAGGTCGAAGGTGGCGCTAAACTGCTGAGCCAGCAGGGCTGCCTGGAAGAGGGTTTTCTTTGTGTGTATTTTTGGATGTGTGGCTTTCTTTTTTTTTTTTTTCTTTTCTTTTCTTTCTTTTTTCTTTGTGTGTGTGTGTGTGTTTGTTTCCATGGAAGAGTTTTTTAAACTTATTTATTCATGAGAGACACAGAGAGAGAGAGACAGAAGCACAGCCAGAGGGAGAAGCAGTCCCTACAGGGAGCCTGATGTGGGACTCAATCCTGTGATCCCAGAGTTCTGGGATCACACCCTGAGCCTAAGGCAGACTCTCAACCACTGAGGCACCCAGGCGTCCCTTCCATGGAAGAATTTTAAGCAGAGAAATGACATATTCAGCTCTTAGAAATTGCAGTTTAGGAAGATTAAAATCATTTATCTCAGTATAGGAAATGAAGCACCCTAGGAGTGAGTAGTTGGAAGGCAATTACAGTATCCCAGGTTAGAAACTGAGTATGAGGGATCCCTGGGTGGCGCAGTGGTTTAGCGCCTGCCTTTGGCCCAGGGCGCGATCCTGGAGACCCGGGATTGAATCCCACGTCGGGCTCCCGGTGCATGGAGCCTGCTTCTCCCTCTGCCTATGTCTCTCTCTCTCTCTCTGTGTGACTATCATAAATAAATAAAAATTAAAAAAAAATTAAACAAAAAAAAAGAAACTGAGTATGAACCACTACAGAAGAGGTAGTAGGGATGAATCAGAGAAATGTTCAGGAGTTAAATCAAAGACAGTGAAAAATCTGCAACTGTTCTAAGAATTAATTTATTTTCCTACCACCGATGAGTATAATTTTCTTGTTTGGATACAATTTTAGAAATTAAATAACTGATATGTTTTGCAGTATCAATCAATGATACTTTACTGACAGGGTAAGCCCATGAGTATGTATCGGTGTACTTTGTGTGAAATTTGAAGAATTTGAGGAGGGAGGCCTCTCAGTACCAGATCCTAGGTAGAGATCTGGAATAATAGTTTTTTAAAAAGATAGCCAGGGTCTCTTAAGATACTCTATGTGCTGGGGAAACAGCTCATAGGTAGTAGCAGATCCAAAATATTATTTTAAAAAAAAAACTACTATGTAGTAGTAAATGTTTAGATTTAACTCCCAGTTATTTATTTATTTTTAAAAAAGATTTTATTTATTCATGAGAGACACACAGAGAGAGAAAGAGAGAGGCAGAGACACAGGCAGAGGGAGAAGCAGGCTCCATGCAGGGAGCCTGATGTGGGACTCGATCCCAGGACTCCAGGATCAGGCTGAAGGCAGCTCTAAACAACTGATTCAGCCGGGCTGCCCTTAACTCCCAGTTTATAAGACATAAGGGCATTGAAGCAAATGAGAAATGACATTGTGAAGAATCAACTGGCAAGTCTGGAATGTGGAAAAATTCTACAGGATATGTAATCTGATTTTTTAGACAAATAAACTGCATATAAAAAGGAAAGAAAGAGGGGTGCTTAGGTGGCTTATTTGGTTGAGCATCCAACTCTTGGTTTTAGCTCAGGTTGTGATCTTGTAATCGTGGATCCAGCCCCACGTCAGGCTCTATTCTTAGTGTGGAGTCTGCTTCAGATTCTCTCTTCTTCTCCCTCCCTCCCTCGTTTTTCTCAAATGAATAAATAAAATCTTAAAAAAGGCAAGAAAGAAGAAGAAAAAAGGAAGGGGGAACTGTTATACACGAAAAGTGATATAAGAAGCATCTATTAATCAAATGCAAAGTGTAGAATTTCACAGCCCGGTTCTTTTTTTTTTTTTTTTAAGATTTTATTATTTATTCATGAGAGACACAGGGAGAGAGGCAGAGACACCGGCAGAGGGAGAAGCAAGCTCTACGCAGGGAGCTGGATCTGGGACTGGATCCCGGGTCTGCAGGAACATGCCCTGGGCCAAAGATGGCGCTAAACCGCTGAGCTACTGGGGCTGCCCTCATGTCCCGGTTCTAACAAATAGAATGTAAAAAGACATTTTGGAAACTTTAGGAAAAACTGAATATAGATTGGGTATTAAATAATAAGAAATTATTGTAAAGGTGTGATAATGATGATGTAGTTATGTTACAACCAAAGTATTTCTTAGAGACACATATTGAAGTATTTACGGGTAAAATGTTACAATGGTTTACTAGAGATTTATTTAAAAATACACTAAGAGGGGTGCCTGGGTGGCTTATTTGGCATCCGACTCTTGATTTTGGCTCAGGTCATGATCTCAGGGTTGTGGAATCGAGTGCTCCATTGAGCCCCACACTCAGCATAGGGTCTGCTCCAAATTCTCTCTCTGCCTCTGCTCCCCTCCTCCTCCCTGCATGTGTGCTCTCTCTCTCCCAAATAAATACATCTTAAAGAAAAATACAATGGGGATTAAATTCATTGGGGAGAAAAGGTTGTGGGAGAATAGGTGAAACAAGAATGATAGAATGTTGGTAACAGTTGAAGCTAGATGATGGACACATGGAGGTTTATTATTATACCCCATTCCTTTTGTGTAAGTTTGAAATTTTCTGTAGAAAATTAAGAATAAATATTATAGGAAAGCCAGAATCTCTTTCCATATCTAAATGTATGAAATAACTAGAAGAGAACATCCTTGTTGGAACTTTCAGAAGAAGGGATCAGGATTGGAAGAGCATCATTTGAGGGATAGGTGGAGGAAGAGGGGCTGCAAGGATAAGAAAGTAGAGGGAAAACTAGTTCTGAGTGGTGTTGAAAAGCCAAGGAGATGGGCGCCTGGGTGGCTCAGTTTGTTAGGCATCTGCCATGAGCTTGGGTCATGATCCCAGGGTTCTGGGATCCAGTACTGCAGTAGGCTTTCTGCTCAGTGGGGAGCCTGTTTCTCACTCTCCCTCTGCCGGTCTCCCTGCTTGTGCTTCTCAGTCAAATAAATAAATAAATAAAATCTTAAAAAATCCCCAAAACCAAGGAGGAACATAGTTTCAAGATGGAAGGAGTGTCAACTCTGTAAAATATTGTAGATGTCAAGAAGGATTAAAATGACTCCGCTAGACAAATCATGAGAGACTCCTAACTCTGGGAAACAAAGGGTTGCAGAAGGGGAGATGGGTGGGGTGATGGGGTAGCTAAGTGATGGGCACTGAGGAGGGCGCTTGATGGGATGAGCCCTGGGTGTTGTACTATATGTTGGCAAATTGAACTTAAATAAAAATAATAATAAAAAAAATAAAAATAAAATAAAATGACTCCATTAGACACAGCAAATAGGAAGTCATTCTTGACCTTGGTAAGATCAGTTTCATGGAGGTGGAAAGACAGACAACCTTTCCAAGAAGCTTGGCTTTAAAGTAGAGGAGAGGGGATCCCTGGGTTTAGCGGTTTAGCGCCTGCCTTTGGCCCAGGGCGCGATCCTGGAGTCCCGGGATCGAGTCCCACGTTAGGCTCCCGGCATGGAGCCTGCTCCTCCCTCCTCCTGTGTCTCTGCTTCTCTCTCTCTCATAAATAAATAAATAAATCTTTAAAAAAAATAAATAAAGTAGAGGAGAGGGATCCCTGGATGGCTCAGCAGGTTAGAGCCTGCCTTTGGCCCAGGGTGTGATCCTGGAGTCCGGGGATTGAGTCCCACATCAGGCTCCCTGCATGGAGCCTGCTTCTGCTCTCTCTCTCTGTGTCTCTCATGAGTAAATAAATAAAGTCTTAAAAAAATTAAAGTGGAGGAGAGACAAAGATAGCAATCTTTCTTTTCCCTCCAAAGAAATTCGGACATGTCTTTATGCTGAGGGGAAGTTGCCACTTGAGAGTAGTTGACAATATAGGTGAAAAGAGGACTGACTGACAGCAAAATCCCTTACTATAAGAAAGCATATTTAGAACAAATTATATGTATAACCCACTGAAGTGGATACCTTGTTTTTCTGATCATAGCCAGTTTACTTTCCTAGTTTACTGTAATTTCCAATTGTTCTGGAGTACATTTTTACTCCTAAATCTCACACAACAGATCTATTTATCTCACTGCTTACCAGTTGAAGAACCAAGTTTTTTTTTTTTTTTTACTGCACTGGAGGCACAATGTCTGGTTCCTGAATAAAATTGCTCTCTTTATAGTCCACTGAAGGAGTTTTCCTCTAAAAAAAAAAAAAAAAAAAAAAAAAAAAAAAAGTTTCACCACAAAAAAATTAGTAGCTCTCTTTACTGCATTAGGACCCGTAGGTCTCCCGTTTGCTGCTCCTGTTTCAAAAACTACTAAAAACACCAACAAAAACTTGTCAAGGATTTTTCTTTCCTACCATTACCAACACATAGGGTAGTTTAATCTGTATCAACTCTTATTACCGGTCCAAAAGTCATTATACGCTTTTAGAATCTCAAAAACTCAGCTACGTACAGATTACACTGACCAGTTTACCTCCGAATTCCATGGAGCAGTTGAACCACGGTGTGTAAGAACTGGATATCCTACATGCCAGCGCAAGCTTCTCATTCTCAGGGTTATGGGGTGCGGATGTTTTGGAAGTGAGAACAGAGGAGAGCTGATAACTCTTCTTTCTCAAATTTCAGGGTGAAATGAATGCACCTGACGCCCGCGTGGCAGAAGAGCTCCGCCAGCCGAGGGCGGCCGGGCTGGACCGAGGCTGGGACTCAGCGCACCCAGGAGATTCCACCCGGCGCAAGTATCCGCGCGCTCCCGTGAGGGCGCGCACGCGTATGCCGTCGTGTCTCGCGCAGGGTCGGCCCTGTCAGGCGGGAAATCTCGCGAGATCGGAGACTGGGATGACTGTCGGGAGGAGGGGAGTGGTGTTGGGGAAGGGGGGGGGAGCCTGGGCAGCGGCCGGGCTCTGTGGCTTCAGGGCTCGGAGAGAGAGAGAGAGGGAGGGTGGCAAAGATAGTGAGTCGGTGCCGCCGCCTGTTTAAGGAGAGAGGAGGGGTCCCGCTTGCCTGCGCCCTTCGCGGGCCGAGAGCGCGAGGCACCCGCGAACCTCTGAGGCCTCCCGGCCCCTGGGGACCCCGCCCCGCCGCCGGCCGGCCGGCCCGCGGCCTCTCTTCCCTTTGTGAGCGCCCCCTTCCCAGGGGTGGTGGTGGTAGCGGAGGGCTGTGCGTGGGCCCGCCCGCCGAGGGGCCGTGGCGGGGGACGAGAGGGCCTCGGCTGTGTGAGGACGGACGGCGGCCGAGGCCCGGGCCGGTTCCCCCGAGGCGGCGGCCGCGGCGGCTCCCAGCACTTCCCCGCGCCATCTTAGCTGAGCCCAAGCGCTGAGGGCGCCTCTTCGACCCCGGTCGTCCCCTCGCCCCCTCCCCCCCCCCCGCCCCTTGTCGCAGAGCTTGGGCTGGGCGGCTTGCTGGGGCTCCGGGGGGGGGGGAGCGGCGGTCGGTCGCCAGGCCCCCTCCTCCTCACTCCTCGCCCTCCAGCGTAGCGGCTACCCGAGCGCTGCAGGGGGCTGTGCCTGCCTACTCCGCCCCAGACCTGTCGGCGAAAGGGTAAGGGCACTTCTGCTTTGGGAAAGGGAGACTTGGAGGGGGCGGGGAAATTCGGCCCACTCTGGCCCCTCCGGGAAGGGAAGTGGGGGTGGGGTAGGGAGGGAGACCTGGAGGGTCTGTGATTCTGTGGGTGGGGTGAAGAAGCTGGTGAGCTGGACTCCCTCCCGTTTTGAGGGGCAAGAGCAGTTACATTCCTCTTTCCTGAGGGTCACCGGAAGGAGTGGTGGAAGGGGATGTCTCGAGGAAGGTGTGGCTCTCTTGGGGAGACTGGGTTGATGTGCACCCCGATTTAAAGGCGCGAGGTCCCTTTCCTTTCTGATCCCTCTGCTCCTCCCTCTCCTCCTTTGTAGTGTCTGTATTCTTGGGAAGGGTAGCCTGCTAGGTGGCTTCCACCCCTGCTCAGGAAATCTATACTCCTATAGGGGTGATGGAAGCGTTTCTCTCCCCCTACCCTTCCCCCTTCCCCATCCTTTAGTCTACTGCAATGCTGCAGAAGTCCAAGGCAGTTTCTTCTTCATACACAGGCCTGTGTGTACACTGAAGGGAGGGGGAGCTGGAGAGGGAAGTAATGGCGCTTCCCTTGGAAAGGTTACCCTTTTCCCTTTGGTTTTAAATCGATAACAGTACCGGTTTAATATTCTTCCCCTGAGATCTGTCCCTGGGAAGTGTTATCTGTTCCTCTTGTTATTGTTGGGAGATATGGCCTCTCGAGAGGGACCCTGCCATGTTTGAACAGTTTTGATGTCTCTCTCGATCTCTTTTAAACACTAGAGTGACTTTTTTTTTTTTTTTTTTTTTTGGTGAGCATATTGGGTTTTCACTGGGATTCAAATAAAATAATTTTGTACTGTTTCATGCCCCTCTCCTTTTTCTTTCTGTGACTGTAGTAGTTCTTGGAGAATTATTAAAGATTAATACAGGCCGTCTGATGGACATTCTCCCTGAGCTGTGAATTTTTAGGGTTCATTCTATTTTGTATAACATTGAAATTTTTCTGAAAATGATTAGGTTACAAACCTTTCTGTAGAAATGCTTTATTTCTTAAAGAAATGAGAAAACAGACTCTAATTTGCCTAATTATGCTGTGATAAGATCTGTGTTATGTAGTCAGTCATTTTTCCACTTCTTTTGCTTCATGTCATATTTGTTTAAAACAAATCATCCTATCTGGTTTACAGTAGTACTTGTTGGTTTTGTCCTTAGTAGAGTAGAAATAAATAAAAAATAAAAATTCTAACATTCTGGAAGTGTGTTGCCAATTGCTTTTTGTGATCAAAGAGTAGCCTTGAAGTCTATTCATACTTTTTTTCTTTAAGTATTTAGATTTACTGATGAAGTGATTTTAAAAATGTTTCATATATGAATATTCTTGGATTAATTTTATTATTTTTTTACAAAGCAATGAAGACTAAAATATGTACAGATATGGGTTGTTTTGATATTTTACTAACAGGTTATATTTGGTGTTTAAGCTTTGCTTAGTCGGTGACTTATTTTAAAATACTTCCGAATGCCATGTATATTTAATGTTGTTCATTAGACCTGTTTAAGGTGTGTTTGTTGCATTTTGAAACCTGGGTTAGGTAGGACTGGAATTTAAAGATATTAGTAGTTTTCAGCACTAATTTAATTTCTGTCATCTCACTTCATAATTTTGATATAGGGAGGCATGTTAATATGTTAAATCGGTTTATTTTTCCTCAAAAGGTAGAATTCTCCTTGTTTTCTTTATTCCCTTTTTATTTTTATTTGAATTCATTTTGACTTAAGTAGTACTTTGGATCTTTATTTCATGGCGCAAAGCTGCATGTTGTGGTGTGTAGAGTTTCCCCTTATATGGGAAATTATGCCATAAAGTCGAATTCTGTATACTATGGTTTGTTGTTGATAATTCATATATACAAGTATGTATAAACCCAAGCATACTGCTCAGCAAAGACTGATGTTTTTGTCCTGGAAAGATGCAGGCAGAGAAGATTTGTCAACAAAGGCTGCAAAACTTAAGGATGTACACATAATATAAGTAAAGTACTTGCTCTATTTCAAAATGCATGCTAAACTAAGAGATACTCTTAAGAACAATTAAAAAGAAACATTGTTTTCCATAGCTTGTAGGAATTCTAAAAGTGGTAAAAGTGTGTTCTTTATCAATTAGGTAAATTCACTATTAGGAGAAAATAGCCTGAGGGTTACTTCAGCTGACCTCGATGCCACTGTCAGAATACTGAGAGCTGTTAAGTCTGGGTTTGGTTGATTCCAGTTTAGTATGGTACTCATGTTTCTAAATAGTTCATCTACAAATGGCAGTGTACATCACTTCCTGTTCTTTCACAACTGACTCTTTTTCTGGATTCCCTTTTAATGACTTAACTTTTGGCATTCTGATATCTGATTTGTTAATTTGGTTATAATTCTCATGTTTTATAGATGGAAGACTTTCTAAGAATCAACTGAGTTTAATAATCTAAGATTATCTTGACAGTAACAAAAATTCTTCCAAACAGAAGGATAGTTTCTCAAACATATTTAAACTATGAGAGGTTTTAAAGAAATGTAACAGTGTACACGACCAAAAATATGAGTGAATTGAATAGAAAATAATTGTATTTTCTATAATACGAATTTGGAGAGAACTGTGGATATGGCAATTAATTGAATGTGTGTTAATATTAAACAAGCTTTCTGTATATCAAGGCACATACACATTTGGTCCAATGTTATGATGCCATTCCATTAATAAAAAAAGTTGATTATAGAACACCAGAAAGACTAGATGCTCTTTTAAAAATTTAATTAATTAATTATTTTAAAAGGCATGGGGTTTAACTCAATAACCCTGGGATCAAGACCTGAGCTGAGTGGGAATGCCTGGGTGGCTCAGCGGTTAGGCATCTGCCTTTGGCTTGGGGCATGATCCTGGGGTTCCCGGATCCAGTCCCACATCAGGCTTCTTGCGGGGAGCCTGCTTCCCCTCTGCTTGTGTCTCTGCTTCTCCCTCTCCTATGTCTATGCCTTTCTCTCTGTATTTCTCTTTAAAAGAAAAAAAGAAAAGACCTGAACTTTTCAAGATCAAGAGTCTCATTGTTAACCAACTGAGCCCACCCAGGCACCTCAAGACTAGATGCTCTTTTTTTTTTCTTTTTTAAGATTTTATTTATTCAGGGATCCCTGGGTGGCGCAGTGGTTTGGCGCTTGCCTTTGGCCCAGGGCGCGATCCTGGAGACCCGGGATCGAATCCCACGTCCGGCTCCCGGTACATGGAGCCTGCTTCTCCCTCTGCCTGTGTCTCTGCCTCTCTCTCTGTGACTATCATAAATAAATAAAAATTTAAAAAAAATTAAAAAAAGATTTTATTTATTCATTCATGAGAGAGAAAGAGAGAGAGAGAGAGAGGCAGAGACACAGGCAGAGGGAGAAGCAGGCTCCATGCAGGGAGCCCGATGTGGGACACAATCCCGGGACTCCAGGATCACGCCCTGGGCTGAAGGCAGGCGCTAAACCGCTGAGCCACCCAGGGATTCCCAAGACTAGATGCTCTTAACTAAACATAAAGGGTATAATTTATTTTAGTAGTTTGCTGGTATTTAGTGGATATAAATATTTAGTAAATCCAGAAATTACCTAGGGGTCAACTGTTGGCATTAAAATTAGATTTGAGATTAATCTGTTATTCACATTACCTGGAAGTAAATTCTGTGTTTTTCATTTGGCTGATTTGTGTATTAAAATCAGTTATTTTTTTTTTTTTGTATCCTTTTTGGTTATCAGTAGTGTCAGTTACAATGATTACATTTGTACTAATTTAACCTTTCATAGGAATTTCTTTGGTATGTATTAACTGCTGTTCAGTTCAGGATCATATATGAATGAGACTTTTCTAAAAAGTGTTATTTCAAAGTCTTGCATAAAATTGAAATTGTTAAACAGAGCGCCAATGTTATGTTTGCCTTTACATTTCTATATTTGTTTGTGGCTGGATTTTTTTTTTTTTTTGTATTCTTCAAGATTTCAAATTCTAAGATGTAAGTGAAAAAGATACAAACCTGTATTATTTCATTCCATTACATTCCGTTTTTGGATTAAAGCATTTTAAGTTTTAGTGGTAAAAATTGACGTTTAATTTCATTGAAGATGTCTCAGACCTTCTAAAAAATCCACATGAATTAAAAAGTTCTGTGGAGGGTCTAGAAATAATTCCTCTCAATTGGGATGTATCAACATTTGGTAACCGTTATTTCTGTCAGTCTCTTGCAGTTGTGCTAGAAGCAGACTTTTTGGACTGCAATACAGTCAAACACAGCATCTTTTTACTTACTGACAAAATTAAGTGGCCCATAAAAGGTGGAAAGGTTTTCAAAATATAAGTACCTGGCATGTAAATAAAGTAAATGAAAGTACAAGTATACAGCCTGTTAAAAATGCCAATATCAGTGATATTTATCCATAACTACCTTTTTTTTAAAAAAAATTTTAGTTTTTATGTAAGCTTTAGGGCTTGAGTTCATGACCCCAAGATCAAGAGTTGCATGCTCTACAGACTAACCCAGCTAGTTGCCTCTAAACATAACTACTTTTTTTAAAAAAGGATTTTATTTATTTGACAGAGAGAGAGAGAGAGAGCACTCCAGCTAGCACAAGCAGGGGGAATGGCAGAGGGAGAGGGAGAAGCAGGCTCCCCACTAAGTAGGGAGCCTGAAGTGGGGCTCTATCCCAGGTCTATGGGATCATGACCCAAGCCAAAGGCAGATGCTCAACTGACTGAGCCACCCAGGCACCCCCAAAACTTAGTTTCTGAGAAAAGCACTGACAAATAATGGAACAAAATATTCTGATTTGCAGCCACTGATAATAATACTGGCACTTAATATATCTTAATTTCACCATTTATTAGCTGTGTAACTTCTTTATGTAACTTTTTAAGTCTTACTTTCCTCACCTATAAAATGAAGATAGTATTTTACAAGGTTGTTAGGTTTAAATGGGTAACTCTTAAGTACTTA